CATACAAATACTTTAAGTGGTATTTGCTTACATAGGTCTTAAGGAAGTTATTTCAGCATGTGTTAAGCACTCGGTGAGGAGCCACAACAATAAGTGGATAGGACAAAAGAATCTAGGATTACACAACTCCCGCACAAATAATAGCAGCATTGGGGACCTGCGTAAATGACACAACCTTGAGCTGGGAGGGGAGCAAGTGAACTCCTTTTCTGCGTCATGCATTTAGATTTACCTTGGTGCTTTAAGGCTATAGGTTGGGATATAGGTCCCAGAAGGTTAAGAAGGTCATTATTTGTTTAACTTTACTTTACTGAAAGCTGAGTGAGTTGCAATATTCAACTAGACCTAGATGCCACTGAATCCTTCAAACTGGTCCTTTAAGCTGTGTTTCCACTGCAGGACCTTTCCCCAGGGTCTAGGAACCTTTGGAGGAACTGCATTTCCGCTGCAGAGCCTAGAGTCCAGGGTCTAAATTAAGATCCAGGGACATTATTTTACCCCCTAAAAATGGTGGGCAGCTTTTTATTTCAGCCACCATTTTTAGGTGGTTTGTTTTTGCTCACTGTGCTCTTACACATTTACATGGAGTTACAGAAGAAAGCATACAAAAGATGGACAGACATCGTATAGTCGTGTTCAAAAAATACATACCCAATACACAACCTTTGCGAGACTTTAGACTGCGGTGGTCACATATAGACAATAAAGGGCTGAAGGAACCTTTCAGTTCTTTGGAAAGTAGTTTCTGGAACTAACAGGTGAGGGTACTTTGGGTAGAAAACCCGACTTTTTATTACCATGTAGATGAGTCGACTCATCTACATTGAGATTCCAGTACGTGATCCTTTTTTTCTCCTCTGGTCTAGTCAAAATAGTTCACTCAGTTTAGGAAAAAGTGTCACGAGAACAAAACATTCTCTGACTTGAAAGAACAGGATAAATGTGATTGAAGTTATCAAGAGTCACTCTGCTCTGTTCCCTGAACTCTCTAATCCTCTCTGCAACAATCTGAACACACTGGGTGATTTACGGCACATAAACTCCCTCCCACACACTCCACTAATTTACATTATTAATACAGCTTGTACCAATGCTATGTGTTCCAAAATACTGATTACATTTGTTGTCATAACATTTAAAATGGATTACTGTCATCTCTCCACTTCACACCTGCACTCTGTGGGCTTTTCACCACACAGTCAATCTTGAGCAGAGATTCTGCATGACAGACAACTATACCGTAAAACTGCTGACTGCACAGGCAGAAATTGTCATGGTGACCCAAGAAAAATTATGCCAGAGGCTGTGTTGTCTTTTTTCTTCTGCAGGATAAAAGTCAAATTTGAATTTTTATTGGCACGACCATAGTTAAATACAGTATTGCCAAGGAAGGATGTACTAGTTCTATAAAGTCTTTAATAAGTATGAATGTAAGAAAAAAAGACATAAATGAGCACACTACAGATACAGATACACTATATAACCTTATATACAACTACATCACTACACAACATAGTATAGTAATGAAACAATTAAAAAAATAGAATAATATCATTAGATGAGATATAATTTAACATCTGGATGGCATTGTAATGGTGAGAACCATAGAACAACACAGACAAAATAAAAGCAACGGTTACTGGAGTCTGGCACAATTTAATGAAGAAAGTAATTAGAGGAAGTCGGGTAAGAAAGTCCAATTTTCTCACCCTTTCTAACAGCCTGCTTTGTGTTTTTATGTCCCACCACTATGGTCTGTGGCACATGTGTGGGACACCAGAATGTTTTGGTGACATCTGTCTGTGTGTCTACTTAGACTCAGTGAACGCAACATGTTTCCCGTATAGAGTGGATGATTTGAATGTATTTTGAACATATTTATTAAAGGGGTACTCCGTAAAGTTGGGGGAGTCACAAGAAACAGATTAAACAGATTAAAGAGTAAGAGTTAGGTACAGTGGTGTATCTGTGGAAGTAAGTCATAAAACAAAGTATTCGGTATTACGGTTTCGCAGAAGTAGTACTAGTGTTTTTTGGTTGAGCAAACATGATTAGAAGTTTAATAACACTAATACAAACTAAGTCGATACTGTAGATAAGGTATAATAAGAGTACATTTCCATAGTGGGATATACATTGAAACTGTATATTGCTGCAACCCTGGTCAGCACTCACAGTATTAGACAAGTACATTGACGTAAAAAAATCTGCTAATGATTGTCTTTATTGGCTTAATTAATTACATTGTTAACCTAACTGGTTAAGTAAAAAATATCATAATTAAATTTGTTGGGATATGTTCTTGATGAACCACTTTTCCTGTAAAGCTCCCCGGAGTCAAGACTAAGATGTGCTTAGTGAATGGATTCAATCCTGTTTGGTCATCTAACGAGGACGGAGCACGCCGCTTAAAGGTCCAAAGGCCTCTTAAGCTCGTATGACCACCTTTCTTTGGCAATTACGCCTGTCAGAGGGGGTTAGCTTTTATCAACACTGGAAATGTCAAAAGGTAAACAGGTCACTAACAGTCTGTGCCTGGGCTTTAACTGCAGAGATGTAGTAGTGTAATAGGATGTTTTGGGAGACGGAGAGACAGCCAGATAAACAAACAGACTGGCAGGCAGGCAGGGAGGCAAACACACAGTTGTGACAAAGGAATCCTCAACATCACATGGTCATGAAGATAGTTTATGTCGCATGTCTAACCCTTCTCAGTTTGATTACACTCATCATGCTCAAATTTATGTTACCCACAGAGATTCTTGCTTGTGCTATTTTGGTAAAGGCCTTTGCTTGGGCTTGTCTCTGATGATCCAGCTCTCTCCAGCTGTCTTGCACTCTCTCCATCTCTCTCGCTCGCTCTGTCTTTCCCTCCCTACCGCTCTAGCCACATTGCCAGACTCAGTTTTCCATGGCCTCTCATTCCCGAGTGCTCTGCGAACTAAGTAAATGAACGACACAATCCGGAAATAGTGTTCCAGCCGGAGATGGTGGGAAGGAAAATCCCTTGACTGGCAGGAGGGTGGGACAGAGAGAGAGAGAGAGAGAGAGAGAGAGAGAGAGAGAGAGAGAGAGAGAGGGAAATTGTATTGCAGCCATTCACACTTTAGACAAATCTTGTTTCTCCCTCTTAAACGCCAAGTCTTGACTCCTTATGTAATTTTACTGTTAATTTAAACTGTTAAGCGAGGGAAAACACATTGCAACTTGGTTTTTTCTTTAGGCAGATCCTGCTCATGTGTGCTAACATGACAGCATCAGGAGAGACCATGACGGTTGCTTCATGACACGGTAGTAGAGGTTAACTTATCTTTAGCACGAGAGGTCAAAGATCAGTATTAAAAAAGGGCAGACGTCTCTGAGGAGGCTGGTGTGGGTAAATGTTGTCAGGATTGGCCTGGCGTTTGGCAGAGGGGGTTGGGGGAGGGGGGGTGAAGACAGGAGGTGTACCAACAGGTTAAAAGCGGGGTCAATTCTATAACCAGGGTGTTATCTGGATACCTCTCCACAGCTGCCAATCACAGCCATACCGCAGCGAGACCAACGACCTGTCGCTAGCAGCTTTAAACAGGGGTTGTGATGGTGGTTCGGTCACTGAAGCCATACATGCTCAGGAAATGTCCCAGCTCTCTTGAAAACCTTGTGCAACGGCCTCTTGGTCAGGGTGGTAAAACGCTCTTTCCTGCATTTGTTGGAGGATGCGGTTAAATCTCCACTGAGAAGCCCGGGGCTGCATTTGTGAAGCAACAGTGTAACATTGGTCATTTCAGTTCAGTATAATTAAGTTCCGGCGTGAATTTAAAAGATGTAAATGTGCCATTGTACTATAAGAAAATAATGTCTTGTCACAGATGTTTAATTGTGTTTAACTTGGTGCCTGCTTGGTGCCTGTTAAATGGCCAACAAAATGCCTTGCTGACATTTTATAAGGGGAGGACTGCCTGCGTGAGTACATCTCACTATAACAGTCAGTAACATGAGATGGGGAACCACACAACCGCTAAATCAGTAAAATGGGAACCCAGAGTCACTGTAATTTGGGAGAGAGCTGGTTAACCACTCCTCATAATGGATGGTGTTTCTGTTTAGCCTAAGGCGTTGGAGCTGAGGTCATATGCAAACAAGGCAGATCCTAGGCCTCGGCTTTTACACAGTACAAAATGTTTCGCTCCATTTATTTCATGAAATCACAGGGACTTGAAATTACACAATTATCTTACACATATTAAAATAAAAAAATAAAATATGTCTTTAACCGGCTAACTGATGGTTTTTTAATTGAAGTCTATTAAAAATGGATTTTACCCATTTCTTTCTATGAAGGTAATCTTTAAATATGATGTTGCTATAGCTAAAATATTCATGCAAATTCACCTCAGATAGGAACATTAACTCCCACAGCGTATGCTCATTTAACAAAGTTGGTGAAAGTGATCCCTGGGAATACCAGAGGTTCAGTGAAACTGGATTCCATAAACTTTTTAACATGACATTTGTAACAGTTCCCCTCTATTTGTTTCCCTTGTTGACCGATAACGTTAGTTATGCACTACATTGATATTGAATTGATATGTCCTACTATATCTAGCTATATCCTACAGTAACTAATGAAGCTGTGAGACACATATGATCTGTCTTTTTTTGATTAATAAAATTTGTATTCATCAGTTACTTCTCCTTAATTGACTTAAATCCCCATCAGATTCCTTTGTTGCAGCCATAGATAGAGCATATACATACACACACACACACACACACACACACACACACACACACACACACACACACACATACACACGATATAGAGCTGAAACAGTAATGTCTAAAGTCAAGAAGACTCTATCCTCGGACAAATCGGTAAGCTAATTTGACGTCAAATTAATCAGCAACATATTTTGTTACTTGAGTAAGCCGCTTCCAGCTTTTCAAAAATGAGGGTTTCCTGTTATTCTCTGTTTTCTATCTCTGTAAATCGAATGTCTTTGTGTCTTGAACTGCAGGTTGGACAAAACAACCAGTGTGAAGACGTCACTGAGCATTTTTACCTATTTTCTGACATTTGAATCGATAATAAAAATAATAATTCATTCAAACATTTGTATCCGTCGTGGTCATTTCAGCTCAGCACTACAGCCTTCTGTCTATTGTTACCATATTTCATTTTTGTGAATGTCCCTTTAAAGGATTACATCATCCTCTTTGCTCCTTTTTTTTCTCCTCACCACATTTCTCAGTGTTCAGCCTTTTCTGCCCAGAGACAATTGCTTAATTCACCGGTGTATAACACTGCTGCCACCTTCTGATCCACAATACCATCGCCGTCTGTGAAGCCGACACACCTTTCAGAGGCATGTTTGGTTTTTCATGATATTTGACATCATCCATCACACCTCTGTACTCAGATCACAGCACTCAGACAAACTGCGTCGCCATACAGACTGTAGTTCTCATTATCACATGACGTTCAGCCCCAAAATCTTCATTTAGTGGCAAGAAAACAGACACAAGTGCTTTATGTTCATCATTAATCCACTCTGAGCTGACTGGATGCTTTCAGTGTGTGCTGCTGTGGGTGTTGACAGTGCTGTTGTGCCATCTAGTGGCAAAGATTCTTACCGTGACCTCCAGTCATATTAATGAGTCCATCATCCATGAAAACTGTGACATTCTCTGCCAAAAGATTCACATCTTTTCCCGAGTGCAGTGTGAAACGTTCCAGAGGTATTTTCAGGAGAGTCACAGGAGCAGCGTGGGGTTTCAGTTGTTCTTTGTGCTGTCGACCGGCTCAGCTGACATCCACGAGTCTGTGACTTTAAGAGACAGTCATAACACCACTGCACAGCTTCCACCAACACTTAATGTCGCTTTGTTATCTGCTCCATAAAAAAGGTGCTGGAGGGGAAGATTTTCAGCACAGAGAGATTTTGTTGGGCACAACACATTTCTTGTATAAGGAAAGCTAAGTTTATCTGTATTCTCCCTTCCTCACTCTTTGTCCTTGTGTGCATTAGTGTAGAGGTTGTTTTATAATTACATGAACTCAGATTACTCTTAAATGTGGCATCAGTCAATTTGAAATCGATTACGTCAAGCCCAGTTATCAAGCTATTAGACAGTAATAAGAGGAAGACCAGTCTGTTCATATTCACTTTTTCTTTTATAAAGAGGAGAATGAACCAAGTGAGAGAGATACTGTACCTGGAAGTGAGTAGACTTGGACCATCTGCACTGACCCCAAAAGTCTCAGAGTTTGTTTATGAATAATGTAACATTAATTGTTTTAAAGTGGTCATTAAGAATAGCTGTAATCTTTATAAAACATACAACAGAGAAGCCAGAGACAGTTTCCGATTTACCCTCCTGAAATGCCCGAGGGTAAAAACTCTTAAGTAACAAGTTCATGTCACTTGATTATAATTTTTTTCAGTTTTCGCTTGAAATACTTCTCTGTCACATGCTGAATGATAGCGTTAAAACAAGGCATCTTACTGCTCAATAAAATGTAGCTAACTGTGAAAGGATTTCTCTTTAGAATTGGTCCGATTTCTGGTTGAATTTCTCTCTTCAATATGGCCTTGCTAGCTTCACAGTGTATTCACAAAGCAGCTGCTAATATCATTAGATCCTTGCTGAAGCACTTTGACTACAACATATCAGACTTCCTTCAGCCGATCCTCCTGCTGGGAGGTACACAAAGAGTTCAAGTCAGGAAGGCTTTGGCTGTCTTTGCAGAAGCAGAAAAATGCTTTGTTGACAATTCTGGCTTTAAATCTGGCTCTCAGCTCACACTACCAGTACTAGCAAAGCACACAAAATAGCTGTTTTGCTAAAGGCCTGTCATGTTATTCCTGATGATTATGTAAAACAATGTCAGAGGTTTCATAGTTTACTGTAAAGTTATTATTTCTGTCTCTTATTGTGATAACAATGTAACAATGTGCAGGGCCATGCTCATCTAAAAAAAAGTTTTAATATTTCAGTGTAGTTTACCTGAACCTGATTCACTGGGTGTGTTGCTTGCATTTCTTAGCATGAGTATTCCTCCTGGTACTGACTGTCAACCTGAAACCTTAAAGAAAGCTACTGTAAGCTTTCCTCAGGACCTCAGACGCTCCCCTTTACTATCGAACCTTTACTATCAAAATTTTCTTTAAATGCCAGTCAGTACTTTAATGCCCAGCACAGCCAGTCTTACCACACTGAACAACTTATGAAATTCACAAGAGCAATATTGATGTATTTTACTTGTAGCAACCTGTTGAGTTCTAACTTGTTACACAGAATAATTAAAGCCGCAGGTAACTTTTATAAAAATAACTTTTTGTCATATTTGCTGAAACTATCACTATATCCTGACAGTAATACATGAGAGAGATCTTCTGTGAAAAAACATATTCCTCTGGTTCCTCCTAGTGCTCCTAATGGCGTTCGTAAGAATAAACCAGGCCTGCACGAAAACAACCAATCAGAGCCAAGAAAGATAGTTAGATGCTTTTGGTTGTGGGCTTGAGGATAGTTGATTTTTATGTCATTCCTATGGTCCCAAAGTATCTGTATATGACGGCCTATCGCCTATCTTTCTCGGCTCTGATTGGTTGTTTTCATTCAGGCCCGGTGGATTCCTGCAAATACCATTAGGAGCACTAGGAGGAGTCAGAGGAACCTGATTTTTTCACAGATTATCTGTCACATATACTATTGTCAGGATATAGTGATAGTTTCAGCAATTATGACAAAAAACACTTTTATAAAAGTTACCTACTGCAGCTTTAAGAAGAGCTTGTTTATATATTTGGCAGACTGTTGTATGGTTGACTATGCTGGATTTAAGGAAGCCACATGAGTATTAGAGCACCAGGTAAAGTAATGGAGTACATGGAAATATCCCACTGGATAAACCAATTAAACACAATTAAAATAACACTGATAACAGTAATGTATGTGGTCACAGGAGTAATTGATGACACAAACAGTAAAGAGCCTACCCATACACAATCAGTAGTTATATCAGAGTAATGTACTACTCTGTTTTTTATGTTTTTCTCTCTCTAAAGAGGCCTTTGTTACATGCAAGTGGATTTAGAATTGATGAACAATTAACTGTAATCTGTTGAGGCTGACCAAGCTTCTCATCCTTTCATTGAAAAGCCTCGGGCAGGAGAGAAAGCGGTGGCAAGGTTACATCAGCTCACCATGGCCAACAGCACTAACATGACCTACAGTGATGTTGTCACTCTGTCAGCCCCCGACGAGTCATGTTGCTTTTACACCCACAGGATGGACAACAGTGAGCTCACATGGACAACAAGGACACAAACAGTCTCTGTTGCAAAGTTACAGAGAGGCAGACGATATGTGTTAATGTGCTCTGTGATAAAGCTGAAGAAAGATATTGTGTGTGTGCATTTAACTTGTCTTGAAATGATGCTACTCATTTGACAATATGCATATAGGGATATATACATATTTTTTTCTTGCTAGCTTCTATTATGAGGAGTGCTTTGAATCCAGTACCATCCTGTACTGTGGGGATTTTCTGCAGGTTACAAAGTATTCTCACAAGTTATAACCAACCATGAAATCAAGCAAGCTGAGCCCAGTTATAATGATCACCAATGATCAGGCACCCACACATTGATATCATTTTTCCTGATATTGCTAGAATTTTGTTGATATTTTAACCTAAATCAAGCAAAATTGGCAAACTACTCTCCACTTATCAATATGATGTCTGCAAAGTTTGTTTCTAGCTGTAAATCTTAGAGTGACTAGAATAATAGAGCTCATGTATACAATCAGTAACGTCCCTCACTAGGTGGCAGTATTGAGCCACACAGTGTGAAAGGATTTACAGTGCATGATAATCCTGTCACTGTTTGCTGCAGTGAAGGCCATCATATCATGCATCGTTTTTCCCATAGTACTGAATCTAATCTATATGAATATAACACAGACTGGTTTATACGTGGAAAAGCACTATACAGCCTAATCAACCCGGGAGTCGTCGACAAGTTCCTGCTAATTCAGACTTTTTTTTTTTGCGTCACTTGAACTGCTTTTTGCTGCTGTGTGTTGTGATGTATTCAACGTTTTCAGTTACCCGTGCGTATCTGACATGCAGTACCAAATAGTAACAGTAATTTGTCATTATCCCTCAGCTCACAGCTCTCCTTCCTTATGTTTTGCTCTGTCCAGCTCTCCTTTGCTAATCCCTGTTGCCGTGACCTCTGACCCCTGCCTGGATGGCATCTTATGTAAGGAGGTGGTTAAGGAAAGCACACGGGAGCGGCCTGTGGTCTGTTGCGCCAGGTCAGGTAAGCTCATTAACAGTTACTAGAGGATGTCCAAGTTAACAACATCTAGAAATAAACCTCAGTAGTGGGAATAATAAACCAGAGAAGTGATGACACAACAAGGTGCTGGCTTCTGTTTCCTGGTTTGGAGTATATTTAACTTGGTTGTCTCAAGACACTGAAACTTAAACTTACTCTGCATTAAATAAACAGTATAAAGTAGCCTACAGGGTTTGTGTGTCCGAGTCCAATTACATTTCACCTACCTTACTGACATACAATAGGCTCTTAACATGGGAGAACAGACACAGCGGAGGGAGAGAAAACACACCATGTGTAAGGTCTAATTTATTTATTTTTTATATATTCTTCGTTCCACACCAAAAACCTCTTTACCCCTAGTACACACACACACACACACACACACACACACCGCAACACTATCCTCTAACGGCCTTCCCCCATCTGTCCTTTCCCTATCAGTGTGGGTGAGTCACTCTGCTCGAACAGTCCAATACGCAGCCATTAAAGCAGCAGAATAATCACACCATTGCTTTCATTCAAGCATCCCAGCTTTTTCTACCAAAGTGTAAAACTTGCATACCGGTAATAGTATTAGGAATAGTTAGTCCTTTGCCACTCTCTCTTTCTTCCAGGCTAAAGTGCGAGGCCCCTCCTCCCAGTGAGCGTGTGTTATGATTCTAGCTGACAGTGTGTACTCTGCGGTGGTAGACACACTGTTGTCCTCCAGTGTGACACATTTTTAACAATAGAAACAATCTTGCAGTTGTGTGCAGTCGATATATTCCCCTTTTGTTTCCAGAGTGCCAGAGAAAGTAGTTTTCTCCAACTGCTTCTTGAAAAGAAAATCCCATCTGTCTTCACTTTTTCCACAGAATAAAATCCATCTTCTTAAAATTGGACAGATGATCTTGTCTTGGCATCCTCTGGTTTTTAGGTCTAACTGCAGGCTTTGACAGTGCAGACCACATTATTCCGATCCATTGGCTAAAGCATAAGTGTCTCTCTCGTCTGCTTTGGACTGGTTTCCCTCGCATTTATCCAATACAAAACTTCACAGTTCCACTGGGATTTCTTGCTCATCCTCATCTTCAATATCCTGCAGGCTACCCTAAGGCTCAACTTTTGGCCAAATCCTCTTCGCCATTCATTTTCCCCTTTTGGCCATATTATTCAAAAATAAATTTTTCTTTCCGTCATTTGTTGTTAATTTAATCTCTCTTTCAAGGCCCGAAAACTTCAAATCTCAAACATTTACATCAAATATTCATGTACTCACATTTAGGACATGGCAACAAAGTTAAAAACATCCCTAGTTATTATTTATTGTGAGTTTAACACCTAAAAAGTAGGCAACAACCTTGCAACTCTCATCACATTTTGATTTAATGGTTATTTTTATTTAATGGTTTTCTAAATTGTGATTGGTCCATGGAAGTACAAATCACCTTTTTCCAACTGAGCCCCGCCCACTTCAATCCAGTGAGAAAAACTAAAATTACAGAAATCTCTTATGTAAAATAACCCAAACTGTTATTAAAGTAGTGTATTCAGGTAGGAGCTCATAGTAAAAAGCTGCTTGAGAAGATCTTATGTTAAGTTTTTAAGTCTTTATGTCCTTTATAGTCCAAAACACAAATAGTTGATCAGATTTCAGCCTTGAGGACATCGAATATTGATAAGACGTTCTCCATCTGAAAGAGTAAAAAAGTTATTTTCTTCCACTTAACTCGACATTGGTTATTACTTTATTATTTAATATCCAGCATCGTTTTCATCTAAGTTTACTGGCTAGCAGTCTTCTCCTTCCCTGCCTTTGTGAGCTGCTTTTCTCAGTGTGTTACAGCCACCTGTTGATCAGAGGAACAGGGTAAAACCGTTGGCAGGAATGTGTATAACATCACCTGCATCCTTGTGTGCATTCATGTGCATCCTTGTGTGCGTGCACTAGAACAAACTCTTCAAAAACATGGTTCCATAGCACTACCAGAGGTCAAAAACTCCAGAGGGTACCTTTAAAACTTGGACACTTTGTCCCCTTAGGTTAAACCGTATATGAAAATAATATTTGATTTAACATTGAAATTTCTTCTCTTTTTTTATTGTTTTGTTTTTTTATATCCAAACGAGTCAATTGCATTATATTTTGGTGTCACTCAGGCTTCCCGGTCCAGCCTCCAAAGCGGCCCAGAACACTGAGGACCTCTAACAAGACCAGAAAAAGAAACAGTACTACCCCTATTATGTCTCCCTTCACTGGTCCCGCTTTAGTTTATTTGTATACAGCGCAGTGCATGGTCTCATCCCAGCATACAGTGTATATCCCTGAACTCCTTTCCCTAAGAAACCTGAGGGCCTTTTATCTGTCGCTCATTCAAGGACAAAATCATAGAGTCCTCCTTCCTCTTCTATTAGATTTTTTCTTTTATTTTTAACTATTCAAGATTTGCACAAAGGACTTAAGGAGCCTATTTTGCTTGCTGGCTTTTTAACTGTCCCTGACCTCTTATTCCTACCCTGGGTCTGTCTGCCTGTCTGTCTGTCTGTGGCTGAATTATGTATTTGTCCCACTTTTTGGAGTCGTGCATTTAATGTTTGCTCCTCACTGTCCTGTGAAGCTCAAAGTGTCCTAAAAATATAAATAGAAGTCGAATCACATTTCAGTCATACAAAAAAAATGTCCTCCAACAAACACAAACAGGGAATTCTGCAATTCATGTTTTAAATCATTATTATTATTAGATCAAAGTGATCGTTTAGTTCCAATCAGATTTAAATGTAAGACAATATTTTGCCAAACTGTGCTTTATTTTATGTGAGACCTTGTATAATATGTATGCAGTTGGCTGTAGTGAGTCTGCTCCAGGCGCACCGAGAGCTGCTAAGGCATCAGGGGACAGCAGCCATGTGACCATGGTTGCAGGGATTGGTTTAGTGCAGATGTGACATCAGCGAGCCTCCCACTCCCTCCCTCCTCCCTCCTCCCCTCTCTCTCCCAGTCTTTCTCTGCCTCTCTCTGCCTCTCTCTCTCTCTGTACCGCTCTGTTTTTTTTTCTCCTTTGCCTTTCCTCAGCATCCCCCCTCTCAGAGATGGCGTGTGTCTGTGGTGCTCAGGCGTCCGGGGCCTAACGTGCACACACAGAGAGAGAGAGAGAGAGAGAGAGAGAGAGAGAGAGAGGACCCCCCCATCCCCCGATCTGCTGCATATTCTTCGGGTGTCTCTTCTCGCTGTGTCCTCCACCGCTGCTGCTGCTGCTGCTGCTGCCTCTCAGCTCTCCCTCTCCCCTCCACCCCACCTCCCTGTGCGGGTGTCTGGGAGTTGGGCCCTTTGGGGGTGGAGGGAATCAACATCGTGCTTCGCTGGGGAGCTGTGCAGAATTAGCTATGCCCTGCCCAGGCATCCTTTGACCGGCTGGATCTCTCCGTTTCTGTCCGCCTGCGCACCAGAGGACAACATAGGATGAAAATCAGCAATCATGATGCAAGGTAATTTAACCGTGCACTCCTTCTCCTCCTTTATTTGCCATGTTCGCCCCCCCCTCCTGCGTCCTCCTCCTGCCCTCTTGTGTCCTGCTGGGCCATTAAAGCCATTGAATCCAGTGATGTGATCTGTCGTACCGTAAGGACCTTAGAGCTGAACTGAGCTATGTGCATGACCAATGTGACAATGTGGCCGTTGTGTGTGTGTGTGTGTGTGTGTGTGTGTGTGTGACGTTGTTAGTCACAGATTGAGATGTAGGTGAGATGAAAGCGAAGGTGTGTGAGGTTTAGATTTGTAAAGGGAGAACTGATGCACAGAGCAGTGTAGTGTTGCACTTGCCTGTTGTTTGTGTGTGTTTCCACATGTCTGTGCATGTCTGTTTGCATGTGCAGATTATAGATCTATCTTTAGTTGTACTCTCATTCTGTGTCATGTGAAGGCGTATTTGAGAGATGAGAAGAGATCTGAGCAGTCCAGGAAGCTGCACTCATTCATACCTCTGCTGCTGTTGCTATCAGTGCATAATATTAAATCATGCCAATAGGAGAAGGTGGTGGAGTAGAGAATGCTGTACCAAAGTTAACAGTGGTGGAATTAGGTAAAGTACATTATAAACTGTGATGGAAGATCTTAATCATAGATCTAACCCTGCATGACAGATGCTGGGCCTTTACCATCCATTAATGCCAACGTGGTAATGGAAGGTGGCTATTATTAGCAAAAGGCCTGCAGTTAGCTTGCCGTGATATTATACTCAGTTCATGAGCTACACAGCAACACAGATGTCACATGCTTATCATAGCCTTTGTTAGCTACATGTGCATTGCTAATTACACAGTATAGGCTGTCAGGTGTAGTTAGTGACACTGAGTACATGTTATCTGGACTCAAACATGGCTGTAGTGCTCCAGTGACAACCTTCTTGTTGATGCAGCATGTGTGTTTATTATCTTTATTAGAAAATAATTAAACATAATGTTATAATGTTAGACTACTTAGACAGTCTCAGTGTGAAATTAGCTTATTAATCTTTGATAGAATTTGTCCAAATGTCTCCTTTTTGAACTGCAAGTTCATACTTGGGTGTCAGATTAATCGACTGTGGCTCGACACTGACTACAAGGCCCACACCGCTGGTTGTGAAGGTTTCAGCCCCGTAACTACAGATAATACATACTTTACACTGATGCTGACCATTCATCAGAGCATGGCATGAGGTGATACGCTGTTTGCCTTCTTTCTTGGCAGCATTATGTAAAAAAAAATAAACTTGCCAAAACGTGAAACCTTTTTTTTCTTTCAATTTGTTCTTATTGAGTTAGTCACAAACATAAAGCAAATGCAGTATAAGGGGTGTAGTTCAACATCACATATAAATTGGGTATAAGATTGCAAATTCTCTACCATTTTCGGAGCCAGTATAAATCAAATGATATCTTCTCAAGACACGTCATCCTGTTTGTGTACGTGTCTATGTGCCAATAGTGATGATTCAAAAATGGGTAACAGAATCCAAGTAAGGGTCAGTCTGCACAGATGTCCAGGGGAAGGGCACAACAACTAGTGCACAAGGGGTCAAGGTCATGCCTGTCCATCTGCTTGCACACAGCTCACACTGGCCTCATTCAAACTTAGATGGAGATTGCACTGCAAGCAGCAGATCCTTATACATGCATCTTGACACTAACTTCCCACAATTTAACTTAATTGTTCGCGGTGTTACGAAGATGGAAAGAAAATAAAAAGATAGAAAGAAAACAAAAAAAAAAGGAAACAAGCATACATTTAAATTAAACGTGAAACCTTCTTGAGATCAGTAATCCATTACAGGGAACACTTAAAAAGACAAAAGGGTTCACAATGCATAATTCCACCACATTGTAAAGCCAATTAGAAGGTGGGCTGAGAAGCTGAACATCATAGAAAGGGGTGGAGTATAATATTAATGACATTATACAGTATCAGCCACTCAGAATTAGCCCCCGGACGGATATATGTATCCATTCATTCCACCGAGGTAAGCAAGGGCCTGTCAAGGGCCTGTCAGGGACCAACCAGCAATTCTATTTGGCTGCATCTGTAAGTGCTAATCAGTAGGTGGTGGTAATGTCTCATTTGTTTGTTTGCCAACTGCCTTAGAAGGGGTTCAGTAGGTGTAGATGCTTATTGGGAGTTAATGCAGTGTTTGAGTTCTTCTACAGTTTCAGACTAACAAATCAAAAATAGAATAAAAGTTAAATCAACCATATAGACAATAAAATACTGTACTTAGAGGTAGCACACGTGCAGTTAGGGTTTGGGGACTGGAGTGAATGCAAAGTGTATCATCGCTAAGCAAATCTGTCCTGGACATTGTTCAAAACTAGCTGCTCCAAACTATGGTTTTATTGCTCCTCCTTTCTTTCCGCTTTGTTACAAACCAACATCTCTGTCTCCAGCATCCGAGGCACGGTGTTGTGGGCAGTGTTACTGTGGCAGAGGCAGGTGTGTGAAGAATTGAGAGTAGATTTTTCACACCTATAAACTGACAATCAGCACGAATAACTGTCTGTCTTCTCGCTGGTTTTGTATTTATTGAGAGATCCATCATGAGAGATTTGAGAGTCAGCTGTTGAACAGAGTGACCTTGTTAAGCTGTGTTTCCAGAAAACCAAACAATAGTCAGAAAGATGAACTTGAAGGTTCATTCTTGAGCGCAGAAATAATAGTCCAAGGGTCACATTCAACATTTTTTCTGGAGCTTTCAGCTGCATCTGGTAGCCTTCATCTGCAGATTCAATGTGCTCAGTAGTAAACTCAATCCACTGATGAACGCCACAGTACACCAGTTACTAGAGTTCATTTGGAGCTTTCAGCTGCATGGCCACAAGATGTAACTTAAATAATTTTACTAAGTTAAGATTTTTGTCCTAAAAGGTTAGTTTTGTGGTGCAATCATACGTGCATTACAGGTAAGTGCCAGGCTATGGGTAAACCTAAACATGTGGTTCGGAGTCGGTATGGAGGAGTGCATTGATTTGGATTTAAAAAGTTGCTGTTTCACAACCGGATCTCATCGCTCTCATGTTCAAGACTACAGGAAACGTTTGAACATTCACCAAAAAAAGAGAAACAACTGCTTTACTAACATTTTTGCATTTGTCTGAAATGCAGGGACATGCATTTGAAACCCTGTTTTGAAACGCTCTGCTATACTGAAAAATGGTCAGCAGTAATGTAAAGTATATACCATCTGTACAGGGTAAAACATGCGACAGAACACAACAGAAATGTCCGAACTTCTGTGAGCATGAAGACCCAAACGTCACAATATTTACAGCTAATATCATTAATTACAGTGATCCCTCTGTTTAATGAATGTCGTAGGGCTGTCCTCAGGCAAACTTTGTAAATGGGTTACAAAAGCAACTCCTGCACAATGTGACCAAAAAGAATCTGACGAGACTCCTTGCACTCCCTCACTTTGTGTCTTATTGTTCAGCGTGTTTATTACACTATTTCTACTCCTTATCACACAAGACACATGCAGGTTAGGACTGGACAGAGGGCTGGCTGTTTGGAGCTGTCTCCACTGATGAAGAGCCATGGTGCAGGAATAATCTGTGCTATTGAGCAGTCCAGCTAGCTACTAATACATCACAGGCCCTGACACGTCCTTCAGTACCCAGAGAGCTTCCTCCCAAGTGAATGGTACTGAGCGCCAGTCCAGTGCAGCTGCTTCACATTTATAATATTCATTAGTCTTATTATCTGGATTTCAATGTGAGCGTGACGTCAAATCAGTGACTCAGTATTTATTTGGATGTCAAAGTCGGGTTGATTTTCAAAACAATTTCTGAACACAACAAACACCACAGGACTCTCTCATTGTAAAATACATGAGCTATGGACAATGCAGAATGTCAGTTTGGGGCATATCATATGTTCCTGTGTAAAACAGCCTTCAGAAAAAGAGATAAAGAACACAAACTGAGCTGCCTCTGAATAGCACAAAATGTTCATCCACCCAACTGTCCATCACGTGTCCCTGTGGCTCTTGGATGTGAGAATCAACTGTGCTTTCTTGTCTTCTAAAACGCTGTTACGCAAACCTACCGGTTGTCTATTTGGAGGGAAGAAAATGTTCCACAGCTCTGCCAATACAATACAAAACAGAGAAAACTGGGATAAATGCTCCTTCAGTGATTTCTAATTGCCGTTATACCTTTGACCCGAGGGAAGCAGGAGGATTGTCAGTGTCAGTTAACTCAATACGTCTGAAAAAAGTCCACTAAGAGCTCAGTTTGTTGGGCTTGTCTTTGTCTCTGTTGTTGTTAGTGAATGTGCAGAGCAGGACAAACCGACGCTGAGTGGCCACTGGGCTTAGTTTGACTAACATGTAACTAAGATGCTAACAACGTGAGTCTGTCTGAGGTCAGTTCAGGTCCAATTATCAATTGCCATGAACTTTTTTTCTTGATCTCCAGAGGATGAATCTGGCCAACCTTGGTGATCCTTTGACTTTTCATCACAAGCTGGTCAGAGTTTTTTATCCAGTGAAATATCTCTAAGCTCAGCTGTGCTAATTACTAAATATTAGTTTGTTAACACACTGAACTAAGACGGTGAAAATACATTTAAAGTACACGCTAAGATAATAGAGAGCCAAAGTCCTTACATCACGTACCAGTGCAATCTCTTATTCAGCATTTCTTTCAGAAAAAAAAAAGGTTTAATGTCCATTATCTTCTACAAATCGACGTACACTTTTTTATTCTTACTTTGTGAACACAGAAAGAACTACAGCTCCCATGACAACGCACAAACACGAGAGCTTACATCATCTTTGGTTCACATCCACAGTGCTCCCTGTCCTGCTGTTATTACACACATGTCACACTTTCATGCTACATATTTTGTTTTACAATCAGTCCAAAAAGCTTGACGCATTTACATAAACTTTTTTTGTTTTAAAAATGTTTAAAAATGTTTTAAAAATGTAATGGTTTCGAAAGTGTTTATGGATGACGTGTTTCTGTGCTTGTCAGTGACAAGGTAAACCAGGAATAAAATCACAGATGAAGCATTACACTCGGATTCCACCCAGCAAATACTTACTTATGCAGAAACCTCTAGGCGTTGCACACATTGAATTTTGTTTCTTTGTTTGTTTTTCCCAGTCGTCCTGATTCAAGCGCTGCATGGTGCCAACCGTCTGTGCTGCAGGGGTCTTGGCGTGTAGTTTGGCTGACGGGTTGCTCTAGTAGATCTCTCCACACTCTCCCTCGAATCTTGCTAATGAAGTGGACACATTGATCAACCTTTCCTGGTGTTTTCTTTCCCGTTGGCAGGATGTTTGTGTCCCGAATCAATATATTACTTTAAATCAACATATTGGGGGTTACTGTATTTCCTGTGTGTCCACAAGGACAGGGTCATCCTCGAGTTACTGAACATCAGCCTGTTACTCTTCTGTGTTATTTGCTTTTAAGTACATTTTAATGAGGAGACAGTTAACTTATATTAGGCTCTAAAACTTGAAATTAATTCTTCATGATGTTGCCCCCCCCCCCCCTTTCTCTCTCTCTGCACTAGGATTGAAAAATCGAACAAGGAAGGCCCTGGGCTTACGAAAGAAAGACAAGGATACAGACACAACGTGAGTTAGCTCAGGGTCACACTCGTAACACCATTAACATATAGAGTTTTACAACCACCCAACTCTGAATGAGGAGGGCTGCATGGGAAACCTAAATACCCTTATGACTGACCAAATTGTGTCTCTAGCATCGAGTATCAGAAACTGTCAAGTACTGTCAGATATTTGATCTTTTTTTCTCTAGTTCCTGACTTTCCTTACAATTGTGGTCATTTCTGACTATTTATGATGAAGAGGAAAGGCAGATAAATATCTTCTTCTTTATTATGGGCAAACAAACACCACGTGTTTCACTTATAAGCCATCATCAGCATCATAAAGTCAGCAGAAATGCCACTTTCTGAAAACAGATGAGATGCAAACAACAGTCAGCAAACTGAATATAATAGCATGAACTAATACATCTGTGAACCGTCCATGACCCTAGACTATTTCATTTCGGTAAAGTTCTCATACTGCTGCGTGTGTATTTTGTTGAATGAAAGAAAACGGTATTGTAGGAAATTATGTGTATAGTTGTCAAAGTAAGGCTGAGAAAAGAATTATTTTGGAGACAGTACCAAAGCTCAGACATTTTATTGGTACTAGTAATAAATAATTCCAAACGATACTCAGCCCTAGTTTAGAGACGCCTGAAGGGATGATAAAATTTTTACTGCGTCCTATGATGTAATTTCTTTCTTCCTCCTTGTTGCTTCAAACAGGAGCTCACCTGACAAAGAAGGAAGTGGAAGCGGAAAGAAAGGAAGTGTAAGTAGATTTTAGATTTTCAGTAATAAATCTGTGAAGCTGTTACTGCCTTTAAAGGACAGTTCCTCATTGTAAAACCAGATAAGATCATTTAACTCCAAAAAAAAGTAAGTAGTAAAAAAGTAAAGTAAACGAAAACTAACATTACATTTTGTAAGTTAAAAAAACGTATAGATCATGTAGCTTTTAATTTTAAGTAAGAATGAGTTAATTTTGTAATTTTTATTTGTACTGTGAAAACAAAATACTAGTAATAAAAAGTTATTAATCAGGAATGTTTCTGTAACGTACAAAAACGAAGTTAATGCCACATAAAATTACTACTAAAAGCGGGTCAATCAAAAAATCTTTTTTTAACCTAAAAAACTGAGTTTGTGCTACTAAAAGATTTTCAACAATGTTTTGAGTTAAATGAACTTATCTGGTTTGACAGTGCTGTTTATTTCAACTGGGGTCCTATTTTTGTAGTTTTTGGCCATTGTTTCTATTTTGTGATGATAACTCATCACAGTAACTATCTCAAATCTCAGTAGCTGAGATCTGAAAACTTGACAAGGTCACTAGAACAAAGTCTGAAACAGGAGAATTCAGACAATGAGACAGGTTGTAAACAAGTTTATCTAAACCACTTCTTTTGAAGGTCAAAACTAAATCATTTTGGCCACAGGTCACTATTCATTATTTATACTGATAGGAATAAAACCCACACTGTAATAAGCCAGACTCTCCTTTAAAGCTCCGGTGTGTAACATTTAGGAGGCGGAAATAGAATATAATATTCGTAGGTATTTTTTCATGTATAATCACCTGAATATAAGAATTGCTGTGTTTTTGTTACCTTAGAATGAGACGTTTTTATCTACAGAGGGAGAGCGTCCTTTTCTTTATGGAGTCTGTCATGTTGAACCACCGTTTCTACAGTAGCAAACAAGGCCACTAGCCCTAAATAGGGGCATTCACCAAAATTTCTCCATCGCGCTTGGAAGGGGAGGGTGAAGTGAAGCAGTTGCGACCTGCACCTACACCACTAGATGCCACTGAATCCTACACATTGGACCTTCTCTACTGGACCTTAATGTTCTCCTCCTTTCATTACTCTGTCTTTTCTCCATTTTGTTGCTAGAAAAAGGCCAATGGAGCACCGAATGGCTTCTATGGGGAGATTGACTGGGACAGATATGTAAGTATACACAGCCTAGTCCTCTTTCTAACCAAGCAGCAATTTTGCAGCTTTGGCATAAAGTACATGTACTGTGCTGTGGCAATCAGTGTCATGTAATGCTAGGTTTAAAATTACTGAGTGAATGCTTTGAATAGAGTGATAGCTGCATATTCTGTGAGTCAGCAGGAGCTTCAGCCAGGAAGCTGACCGTCTCAGGCAAGCCATCTGTGAAATCTGATCCACATTTATATGCAGATCTGTTCACAGGGAAGAGTTTAGCAATGCCTCTGTTACAGCGTGTGATGGACTTGAAATGACTGTTCTCCTCCCTCTTTTCCAGGCCTCTCCTGACGTGGATGAGGAGGGCTTCAGCCTCCGGCCCGGTGACGAGGGCGATGATATCCTTTTAGTGAAGAGCGGAAGTAGTAGCAGCAGCAGCAGCAGTCTTGGGACTCTTCTCCTGCAAAACTATTGACCTGTTTGGATGAGTGACTCATTGGATGAGTGCTTCTCAGCATTAAATAGGCCGAATCAATAGTCTCTCCCTCTCATGCCACATCACATGTGTACGTCCCTGCAAAAAAGAAAGGATCAGGAAGGAAAGCCGGACAGACCCACATTACATTCAGACTGGCTTTGCGTTTCTCATTAACAACTGACCCCCAGTTCACTGGTATTTTAGGTTTTTTTCTCCCGCAGGTGTCAGCAGCTTTATGTTTGAAATGGATTCATAGAGAGTTGGTACTACAGAGACTTCTCCCGGGATGATTTAGCTTAGACAGAGCAGGAGTGTCAGTTACAGCAGGTGTAATGTTCTTCATGTTTTTAACTGGGACACAGCAGAGTAAGTAAAGTAAAAGTAGTAGTATCACAGTGTAGAAATATACTGTTAAAAGTAAAAGTAATTAATTCCAGCTTTTACTTAAATAAAAGTGTAAAACTATTAGCATCAAAATATCCTTAAAGTACCAAAATAATGCAGTTATTATAATGTAGTTGTAATTACACCATAAAATGTGAGTAAATATATGTGTACAGTGTGTATTTGATATAAAATGTATTTATCTAATGCTGTAGATGATCTCCATCTTTCACATCATGTATTGCACTCATTCTACATACTTTGCCCTTGACTCGCCTTCACCAGCTTCTAAAGGAAAGCAGTTTTCCTCCTCCAGCGACTCCGAGGACGACGAGGACAGCAAGAAAAAGTTCAAAATTAAGATCAAGCCGCTTGTTGCGGACAGCGCCAAGTGTGTCCCTCCATCTATGGACGAGCTAAAAGCCTCGGTGGGAGGCCTGGCACTCTCTCCTTCTCTGGTGAGCACTGCTGATCAGCACTCTTGTTGTGCTACATAGTACTGAAGGGAACAAATCACACACGCTGCAGTTTATATATTGTAATAGCTTTTGAATTCTCTCTGTCTTACACCCTCGCTGTGTTTGTTTTTTCTCCTCACTTATTTTCCGTCATCTTGTAGAAGAGAAGTCCGGTAAGCCCGTCATTCATTTTCACATCTGTTTTACCACCAGCGGGGGGTTGCATGGCATGAATTTACTTGGAAATGCTTATCACTTCCTGTGACAGTTCTCTTATAAAATTTCTGCATGCAGTTTCTGTCTCACCCTGAGTGTCATTGTCTTTTCTAGGCCTTAAAAGACCTTACTTCTTTTTGTTGACTTTTTTTCTGTTTAGCTACAGCTTTACTTGAACCTGTGTAGCAAAGCGCCTGTGTTAAATAATGCACAGTAAACATAACACACACGCAAAGCTGCAAACCTATTGATTCGGTCTCGGTGGAGTTTACACGCTGAGCAACCTGCTACATTCAGTGTGTGTGACGGTCGTAGGTGATGCTGGTATTGTTCTCAAAACCTGAAGGGTGTTATGGCTCATGTTGCATTATTAAGGCTTTGCGGTGCAAGTAAAGAGGTGTGTGCAGTTTTTTAGTTGGTGTCCATTTGACTGATTTGTCACTCACTCTCTGACCCAGGTCTGTTCTCTCTTCCTTTTTGCTGGTCTCAGAGACGCAGCCCGGTGAGTTTCTTACACCATCTGCTGGCTGTTTCAGTGCTGACAGCCTGAAACGTAGCTTTCTAATCCCTGCTGCCTGACCTGTTTTTAAAGTAGAAGGATACACAGCAAAATAAGAGTAAACCATCTAAGTCAATCATGATTTATTACTAAGTCTCAAAATCTTTTTCTTAAAACAAGTGAAAAATATGACTGTGGTGACAAAAATGTATGCATTTGCAACACAAATTAACTTTATCTTACTTTACTTGTTCTTACTGCTTTGTTACTGGTTTAAAAACAACAACTTAAAAAATTAAAATGGTTTGTTTGCGTTGTACACTTTCTCAATGTATGTTTTCTTTGGATTCTATCTTTTACAGGGGCTGATAAAAAGGAATTTGTCCTGTAAGTACACCAATTTATGAACATTTTTAAATCCTCTATTCCTTTATTACTGCACAGTAGTGACCTAAATGCTAATATGCTCACAACGGCGATGCTAACAGTTATAATGTTTACCATATTCACCTTCTTAGTCTAGCGTGTTAGCATGCTAACATTTGCTAATTAACACTAAACACAAAGTACAGCTGAGGCGGATCTGAATGTCCTTAGTTTTGCAGGCAGTGGTCATAAACCACAGTAGGGGACAAAACTGAAATGGATCACCAAAGTGATTGCAAGGGGAATATGAATGTCTGTATCAAATTCAAATCCAATAGGAGTTTAGATCAGTTTGGACCAAAACGGTGGACCAGCCAACAGACATTGCCATCCCTACAGCCACGCATCCCTATTAGAGAGGCTAATAATACGTTTTTTGTTATAGGAATACAAGTGTAACAGTGCACCAGTTGAGGTTTTGATTTGTTCCTCATAGGTGAAGAGATTGCGAGACCCAGACGCTCCACCCCCACACCGAGTCCTGCCCCTGAGACACCAAGGTCTGTCATTCATTACCCCTCTCATGCAGTCTGTATATTATTCGTGCTGCTACTAACGTGACTTGTGGAGTTTTAAAAAGTAGAAACAGTTTCTTTTGATTGATTGTTGTATGTCTCTCCTTTTGCAGCGACAGGCTATCGCAAAATGTTCCTGCCTTTTTTGGGCTGCCTTCAGAGACCAAATATGCCAGATACGATGGTCTGTCCTATCGAAAGAACATCACATGAACTGATACTAAGTATGCCATGTAGCAGGAGCAGTTTATAGAGGTGACATGTATTGTTTCTTTGTCATTATCCAATCACAGTGGTCCCTACTGAAGTATGGGGAGACTCGAGACCACGCTCAGAATCACCGCTGAGCAGAAGTTTCCCAACAGGAGGTGATCTGGCATGAATGAACCTCACTTTATGTTTGTTATAGGAGTAATATTAGTATATGTTTGAAATAATATACATCTATCTATCTTCGTGGCAGCTCCTCCTCCGCTTCCTCCAAAAAACATTCCATCAAGAAGTCATTACGGCTATCCTTCGGACTCTGCTGGTAAATTTATCTCGTATAACTTTCTATTTCAGTCACACAGTTCAATCCTACGAGAGCTTTGATCTAAACACTACCTCAAATTCTTTTTCAGCTGATCTACCCAATGGAAGGGCAGGTCGCAGCTCGGCCCCCATCTACCTGAACGTCCTGTCCCCCGCCTCTTACCGAGGATCCCCTGCCCCCGACCTGGACGACGTATTTGGCCCCATGGACAGCCCCCGCACCAGTGAGGAGACAGTGTCTCCCAGATGGGTCACTTTCACTGAGGACAGACCCCCGCCGCCTGATGAACCCGCACCCCCTCCTCCACCGGACTCCCCTCCTCCAGACACACCCTCGTCCACCCCCTCCACCCCCTGCCTCTCTCCGGGACCACCGCCAAACGAGCCCCCGCCTTCGCCTCCACCGTTTTCTCCCGGGTCTCCTCCTCCTTTCACACCACCAGACTCACCCCCGTCCATCGTGCTCGGGCCTCCTCCTCCGGATGAACCCGCCCCTCCCTTGCCTCCCGACTTCTCCCCCTCTGACTCACCTCCTCTGTGTCTCGATGATGATGCAATCGATGAGGAGGTGCTGCAGTTTGCAGAGTACTCTTCATCTCCGGCCCCCATCAGCCCCGTGCCCCCTCTGCCAGCGGAGCGGCGGTCTCCTCGGATAGGAGTCACATCTCCCCTGGTCCTGGGAGGTATGGGGGGAAAGAGGACTCCAGAGGGGGCGTACCTGAGAGATGATATCCCAGACTTTGTGGGTTCACCCAGAGAGCTGACTCCAAGCTTCAGGGGCACGCCGCCTCCTCTCCCTCCAACCACCTACAGGTCTATTATGTCTTCCCCAGGGCCCTACTCAGGCAGCAGTGAGTACTCAGTCTGTTTCTGAATGTTTACAATGGCCAATTATGCTGCTTTCACACAAAGTACGAGCTGACTATTTAAACTGCGTCCTTCAGCGCTGGTCTGTTTGAAAAACTGAGAATGACCCTGCCATCAGTGCCACCTCAAAGGCACACAGAATGCCAGGTCCTCTTGCCTATTTGTAAATGTTGTGTTAGGTCTGACCCAGCATTCATCACCACCTCACAAACAGCAGTCACTTCTTGTGTTTGCTGTTGGTTTTTCAGTAAATATAAACATTATTTATATTTTTTATAATTGTTTGGAAGATACGACAAAAGAAAGAAATATTATTTTGACTAATTGTTGATTTAGTATGTGGGAAGCTTTCTTCAAAACAGTTTTATAAGCTTATAGCGATTGGTACAGGGACAAAATAATATAATATAGCTTGCTACAGTCACCAGAAACAATGATTTCATGAGAGACGAAACACTAAATTAACTAATTATTGATATTATATTAACTATTATTGTAACATGCAAGAATGGGAAGAATGTGATCATTTGAGTACAGCTCTTTTAAAGTAAAGGTTGCTGGTTAATGTAACATGTTAATTAAGTCAAGTAATTTATTACATTACGAAACTGAATTATCTTTCATTTAAAAGGAAACTTTTAAACAAAGATCAAATTTTTATTTGTAACGTCCTATAAAAGTCACATAACTATAAAACACTGATTACGATGATAACAAATGTATTTTTTAGAAATTGAATACTAATTTTAGCTACAAACTGACAAAGCGTCTGGGGAAAAAGCCATGGACATAAGCACAAACTGTATAAACCTACTGTTTTCCTCAAAGATGGGAGGTGCAATAAATTCTGCCATGTAATGTAATATCTGTCCCTCCTGCACAGACATTTCTCTGGAGACACTACAGTCTGAACAGGGATCCAAACTAATCCATCCAATTTTGGTTCTGTATACAAAAAAAACAAAACTGTTTGTCATACTTAAAATAAATAAATATGTCAACCGCTCTGATTAGTTGAATAGAGTCAGAAGTAAGGTGTGAATCACTTTAATTCATTGTAGAAGTGAAATATGGTAAGACATCCCTGCTCCTCAGACAGACAAACAGAGCTTTGTTGAACTCATAGAAATGAACACAGATTTAATTTTGGTCCCAAGTTACTGTCTGAGGCAGGCGCCAATACAGCACTCGCTCTGAGAAAGTGACATGAGTAGAAATGTTGGAGCTGATGTTGAATGATGATCTCTCTCACTGTGATCTGAAGGCAGTGCTAACCACAGACACTGGTATGTGCCGCAGGCCCTTCATCTCCAGCTCGTCCTGCCACCCCTCAGTCTCGAGGCAGTCCGGTCCCTCCGCCTCCTCCTCCTCGACCGTCCTCAAGACCAAAGCTGCCCCCAGGGAAACCAATCACAGACCTGGTACATGTGAAGTGTCCTTTCATTTCTCTGACTCTCTGGTATTTAAATAAAACTGATTATTAATTCTGTATGTTTTTTGTTAAAAGAAGGTCTTCTTTTGGTCATTTTCACTAATGTGTTGTTTTTTCACTCTAATCAAAGTGTGTCTTGTTGTGTACTGTCTCCAGTCTCGGCCCTTCAGTCCGCCGGTTTCAGGCAGCCCCCCACCTTTCGCCCCCCTGGCCCGGGCGGAGAGCGCTTCCTCTATCTCCTCCATTACCTTGCAGAGTGCAGCGTCCACTCCAACCTTAGGAAGGGACCTCAACATATCCACCGCAGGTACACTACCAGCAAGTCATCCTGCTCCTCTTATTTTATTTTTTTTCAGCCTCACATCTCAGTCTGTCCACGTTGTCTGTCGCTCATCATTGTGTCCTTGCCTCACAGTCTTGTCCCTTTCCATGATTCTCTCCTCCTCATGTCTCTGCTCACTCAGAAGCCTCACAGCCTCTGGTATGGTTTGACCACGGCAGGTTTTATTTAGCTTTTGAAGGTGAGTCGAGCCAGAACTCTACTGTAGTCCCGCTAATGCATGGACTGAAAGAACCTGCCCTCCTTCCACCTGCAGTCCATGCTCACTGAGCCAGAATATTGCTGCCCATCCCATCCCGTGTCCTACTCACTCACCTAGAATTTCTAGAGTGTGAGTTTTCCTGAGTTTTGATTTTTTCTGTTTGCTTTTTTGTTTTTACTCCCCCATCCTCTGCCCATAACCCATAGCTGAACATTGGAGAGAACAGACACAGTCCAAGGGTAGACTTTAAAGGTGTTTTCTTATTTTGTGTGTTTTCAACAGGATGCTCCAGAGGACCAAGTCCACTCACCATGGGGCCCCAGGACACTTTGCCAGTGGCAGCTGCCTTCACAGAAACCATCAATGCCTACTTCAAAGGCGCAGACCCCAGCAAGTAGGCCCACATTTCTCTTTTGTAAACAGTTGCAATGACCAGAATGCATTATTGATTGATGCATTGGTGAAATTGAGAAATGATGGAACACAACAGACAGTTTTTGATTTTGTTTTGAGTAGCAAGATGAAGAACTTGTGAGTCTCTTTTTATATAATAAAGATATAATAAGATATAATAAAGTGAATACATTACTGGCAGCTACACATTGACTTTGCACTTTATAAATAAATAATAAAGGGATTCTGGGCGTGTATGTCTTTGTTCACCATGATCTCTTCTCTCCCTCTGTCCCAGATGTGTTGTGAAGATCACAGGGGAGATGGTGCTGTCCTTCCCTGCGGGCATAACTAAGCATTTTTCCAGCCACCCAACTCAACCCATCCTCACCTTTAGCATCAGCAACTACAACCGACTGGAGCAGGTCCTCCCCAATCCACAGCTGCTGTGCTGGTGAGAATGACATTACAGGCAAACGCACACAATAGTGCCGCTGCTCTGTGCTTTTAGAATACATAAATGATCTAAGTATTTAATGAATGTGCCTCTCATCCCTCAGTGATCCCACAACAAACAGCGTGGACACCAAGGAGTTCTGGGTGAATATGCCAAACTTGATGAGCCATCTGAAAAAAGTGGCTGAACAGAAGCCTCAGGCGACATACTACAACGTGGACATGATCAAATATCAGGTATCAAATATCTGTTATGGTCTATGTGTATCGAGTATTTGTCAATCTAATTATAGCATCTATCCCTATATCTAACTTTCTTGGGTTTCTGTGCGTCTCAGGTGTCAGCAGCGGGGATCCAGTCCACTCCTCTGAACCTGGCAGTGAGTTGGCGAGGCGATGCCACCAACACAGACCTTAGAATAGACTACAAATACAACACTGAGGCCATGGCTGCCCCCATGCCGCTACACAACATCCACTTCCTGGTTCCTGTGGATGGAGGCATGGCCAAACTCCAGGCCATGATCCCCCCCGCCACCTGGTAAGGACAGCTCATGTATGGGGGCTAAGGCCAACCTAGCACCATTTCCTACCCAGCTGCCAAAATTATGGGATGTTTAGATACTATGTTGTAAATATAAGTTGTATCCGGAAATGTATTATCTCATTTTGGAGCACTGTTTCCCATGTGTCTACTTGTAGGAGCTGAGTATATATATGCATAAAGCAGCTGGTTCAATGGCTAGTGCGTAATAGAGATATGAGCGTTTTTATGTTGTATTAGATAATCAAATGTTTTGTGTATTAGCATGGGCTTAGGCCTAATTTATCCTGGCTTCCTATCAAACAACATGTCCTCTATAATGTAGAATTATTTTCTCATAAAGGAATCCAGAGCAGCAGACGATACAGTGGAAAATCCCCAGCCTCTCTCATAGATCTGAAAATGGAGGTAAGTGTTGTTACATAATCTTCTTGTTAAACAAACAGTCTCATTATATTCTCTCTGTGGACAGTAACGGTGTGCAGCTATTTGCTTAGAGGCTAGACATTTATTATTCTCTCATCTAAATGTATCATGTTGCTAAATACTAAACTATCAATACTGTATCTGTGTCCCGCAGGAGTAGGGGCTCTTCTGGGCCGGTTCCAGATGACAGAAGGTCCCTGTAGACCCTCACAGCTGTCAGTCCAGTTCACCAGTGAGGGGAGCACTCTGTCAGGGTGTGACATCCAGCTTGTTGGGACTGGCTACCGGCTATCACTGATCAAGAAGAGATTTGCTGCAGGTCAGTTTGAGTATCAGACATGTGTGTGACCTCCTGTTGTCTGACTGTCTTCGTTTTAGAACCAGATTACTCTTTGGTTTAGTCATCTAAATGCACACAGACACTCAAGGCTGAACTTCCCCGCTCTTTGACATGTTTCGTTTTGCTTCACAGGGAAATATTTGGCGGATAATTAGTGGACCTGTTTGTGAACGGAACCAAAAGAATCAATGGCTTTTTGACTGTGAAGACTATGGATCCATCCCATTTGTTTAGTGCATTTGAAACATTATCTTTAGCAACCATTAGAATTAATGGTTGAGATTTAACAGAATAACAAAACATAACACACACAGATGATATTTGACTTCATAACATCATATTCAGTAGACTTACTGCTGCTGAGTTTATGCAAGTAAATACAAATCATTAGTTTTGTGCACTTGGAACACTTACGGGCTTACATGGAGTAAAATATAGGAAAACCCTGATTCTTTGTTCTTGTTAACATAATTGTGGATTCATACAGTGATCCAGCCTTATTCATTGCCGTTTCTTTTGTCTAACCGGTTGTCATTACAAATGCACCGTAAAAGATAATGTGAATAGATTATATAATATTCAAACAATCTTAAACAAGGTGGAGAAGAATGGAAAATGTAAAACAAAATGTGTAGTATAGGGTTGCTTTGCAGTTGTATTCTAAGTTATAGGTTACATGGTAATATCTGATTTACACTGCCACCTCAAATCAGACTTTTTTTCTTCTCCATGTGTGACCAATCTTTATCGTTGTCTAAGCAGAATTTATGTTTCTGTGTAGACAGCCTTTGAAAAGTCACAGCCCATCTATCATTCTTGTGATTAAAGGTGACTGGTCAGTTCAAAGTTCAAAATGACCCGCAGCGCTGGACTAACATCAACAGTCTTAATCTGGAGGTGCTTTTTATATGGAATTATATTTGTGGCTCAGTCTGGATCACATGATTGGGAGTTTGAGGACGGTGAAACTTTGCAAGCACATGAATTATATTTTGTAGAGAAATGATCATCATGCACATGATACTTTCATTTGAGCAGAAAGAATTATATTTTATGCTCGAATAAATGTGTTTGTTTGCAGTTATCTCAGTAATAACCTCTTTCACTCAGTTTTACTAATTTGCCTTATTAAATATTGAATTTAATTAAATTTTTAATTTAAAGGTTTTTTAATTTAAGTTTAAAGGGGATGTGATTCATATTTTTATATTTACAATTATCACATAATTACTGTTGTAGTAAAGTGCTTTTGTAGAAATAGGTTCCTCATAGTAACAAACCCACAGAGAATATATCACCTGAATAGCTCAACCTTAATGTTTGGGTTCACGCTCATCGCTCTCACAGCATCTCACCGTTAGCAACTAGCTGGTGAACATTGTGGAACATTTAGCTTTTTAAAAAGCCAGATTTTCCCCTTTGTTGGTAGAGACGTAATACTGAGCTCAAAGTAAAGTGAACATTGGACTTTCATTTATCAGGTGGCCAGAAACAGGACTCCAAATGAGTGCTAATGTTACTGCGTGTCTGCTGGGTGTGTTAATCTGTGGCAGCTGTTTGCTAACAAGTTGATCAAATGTCAGTGTTGTGCTCACAGCTGGTTTGCACAGCCTCTAAGTGGCCAAACAAAATCATTAATTGTAGGTTTAAGTTTTTTTTTTTTTTTTTTTTTACTACATTAACGATTGTAATGCCTTGGCTGTTTAGCTGACATTTATCAAGTTAGGCAACTAGCTTAGTTAGCTACTGCATATCTGCAGGCGTTAGCTAGCTATAAGACAACTAGTCCGCAAGCTAACCGAGTACAGAATAACTAAAGGTTCATAAAGTCATTTATGAATGAAGTAAAAAATAATTTAAAGTATTTATACTGTATTTTTGTGTGGCTGTGGTGTGCCTGCTTACCATTATACTACCACCAACTTGCCGGATTTTCATTGTGCACTTATGTGGAGAACAGCTAACATGCTAATAAATTCATTGATCACAGAATAGGTTTTGCTGAACTTAAATTATTTTTGAGTGATAATAACTTCTCTGCAAAACAGATAAGTTATGTGTGTGCAAACATATTTCTTTGTGCTCCAAATCTCCCATCCTGCGGTCAGGGTTGAACCACACATCTGTAATGCTATACTTTTACACGTGCAGCCTTTACCACTACTTTGATGGCATTCTGCTGTTAACGGGTCACGTGAACAGAGAGTTGAAAACAGTTACGGCAGTTTGACCTGCTGCAGAACAAAATCATTACATTACCACTACGGGCACGTGCAATGCTGAGAGAGACATCACAGTTCCCACATCACAGGACTTTAGTGGTATTCGTGGTGGTGTGTGAATGGTCAGATTTTGTAACAACAAGGCGATACTCGTGTGACTAACAGAAGCTGCTACTTTCACTGGAACAGTTTGGTTAATTTATTCCGCTAACGTTACAGAAATTATGTTTGAAAGGGCCTTAAGATGTAAGACACATACAGAGCCAGACGTGAGTGCCATACGGGGGTGAGAAGGAGCTTTAAGTTTCAGGAGAAATGTAGAGGGGACCTGGGCTGAAGATTGTAGGAGTTGCCTTTGATGCTGCTTAAAAACTTGGCCAATTCCTTTGACCGTGAACTTTGATAGAGGTCTTGACGAGTATTATCGGGACATCACAGAGTAATGAAAAGAAATGTCTATCAAGAAGACAACACTGTTTCCTGTGTCCTGTTTTATTTTCTTCCGTTTCCATCATGTTGAATAAATGTTTTATGATTTTCTAATAGCAATATTTAAAAACTTAAGTGTAAAAAGTGTACATAAAAAGCTATGTTTCAATTATTTCTCTGGGCATATGGATGTGTCTGTGATTGTCTCTTGGTTTATTGATGTCAGCACTCATAATGCATTAGGTTCTATGTAACGACACCACCACTCGTCATCTATTGTTTTACATGTGGGTTTCTTGTACAAAACAAAGTGTTACTGTTGATGAATAACTCCAAACGGTGCCGCATGAAATCTGCATTTGTCCATCACCAGTCTTATCAATGCAATACCAATTTATCCATTTCAATAAGGTCATGACTCATGTGTTATTGTATATTGTGCTATGAGAGGAGACCTTTTGCCTTCACTTAAACCTCCGATCTCTGTTTTGCTGTTATTGCACCTTCAGAAACCCATTGTCAATAAATTTGGCATGTATTCATTGATATTCCCATTCCATGCATCTGATATAGGTGTTTGACATTCTCCTGTGTTTGACTTGCACACAAAACAAACCTTAAATTTCATTAATAAAACAGTTCATGGCTTCATGTCACATGTACACATGTTGATATGTTTTTGAACATCACATTTTATTGAATGTTTTAATGTGTTGACTCACAGTTTGGGCCTGGGTGTAATATTTCATTTAGTTCTTAGAAAAAGACAAAAAAGAACATAGTTTTTTTCCCCCCAGTTAATTTAGAGCCCCAGTTCACAGTGTTTCTGTTAATAATGCTTATGTTTGCTTTGCCTTATTTTTGAACATACACTGAGTCCTCCAACATGGGTTGGAGGGTTTCTGTAAGTTTATTTTTTCTACAACCTTTTGGCTGTATTCCTTTCACTGCATTAGACACAGAATATGCAAACATTTCATGTAAATTTCCCATCCAAAGATTTTGAAAGTGAATATATGAAAAAAATCAATATAATGTAATACCTGTTTTACTTGGTAATAAAGAAGAGGAAATATGAGACATTTATCTCCCTCTCATTTGTTCAAAGATATAAAAGTATACTTTGGGGGTATTGGCCAGACTATAAAAGTACAAGTGAATCTTTCAACCTGTTTCCACTGTTTGACGAAGAATATTTTATGATTATTCATCATAATTTATTCATAAGTTCCACTGGGTCAGGTGGGCCATCGGGGAGGAGAGGGTATGGGGGCATTACGAAGAGAAGTCCTTAAAGCGCTCAGAAAAAAGCAGGAAATGTGAAAACCTACAATTCCACGACAGCTGGGTAAACTCTATGCTGACGAAGACCATGTGGTGTGATCGACAGCTCCAGAATAGCTACTAAATAGACCTTGTGGGTGGGATTGTTTCTCAACTGCTGCTGATGATCTAAACTTAATTCCACTTAGTGGCCTAGCTTTTTCAGGAGCTTTCATCTCGCAGTCTTCACCAGCAGACGGAGTTATATGAATAATGTACAAGTAAAATGAAATGCAGTGGTGATGACAGCTGATGAAAACTGTCACGTGTGGTTAAAAACTATTAAGTGCACCTTGAGTTATGATGGATGAACTCTTATTATTATCTAATTATTAGGCTATTAGTCACTATCACTGTTAGGGAAAGGCACCAATGAGCGCACACAGCTCTGTAGCCATAACTTTGGGCTTTTTTAACCTTCATTGATTGGTAACGTCATCACTAAAAACAGTGTACGTCACGCAGCCAGCAGCACGCTCGTGCATGAAACCCCGCCCACTGACTGATGGTTGCCATGACAACACCAAGCTCCACTGTGCTGTGCTCGTCCCAAGACGCCCTGAAGTCGGTAAAAACATCGGTAAAAACATCGGTAAAAACGTGCTAGATTTCCCTCAGTGATGTTTATGTATGACCCATTTGACACGAAATGATCTGTGAAGCTATACTGTTTGTAAAGTTCTTTAAAATAAGCATAGGTTTACAAACGATTCAATTCTTTACAGCTAACTTTACGTTATTTGTAACTTAAGCTAAACCTACCCAGAAGGCTAACGTTGCAACTTTGACTAGCTTTAACGTTAGTTACCCCCCCCCCGTGTATTCATGTATTTTTACTTTAGTTTTTACCTTTTTACAAACGTAAGTTTCCTAATGAGTTTTCCTTATCGATTTAGGGAATATGTGTTTTAAACGTGATGTCCTCAAGTGTTGGAGTTAGCTACTGTATCTGTTTAAACTAAGCTAACTAACGTTAGATATTAATTAAGCTAACGTCAATATATTTAGGTGATCATCCTGTAAAGACAATCTAAAGGAAGGGGAAGGTGTCATGTCTGATCTGCTTAAAGACAAATCCCTAAAAAGAGAAAAGAGGACGGGCAAGGCGCCTTCAGAGGGCAGCCATGGAGTCAGAGGCAAAGAAACAACCGGCAAGACAAAGGAGTGAGTAATATCCAGCTTTTATCATTCTTGTTGTCAGCTTTATTAATAATACCAAACTGCCATAGGTTATGATGACTGATGAAAGTATTCCCAATACACTATGTTTGGTTTAGAAGTTGTTGTGAGCTCTTCTTACATTATTACTTATGTGGAGGTCAGTCAACCGCAGTGTACACATACAGTGGCCCTTATCCTGGCAGTTTCATCACTCTGATCCTGTGTTTCAGCTCTATAAGTACAGTGTCGTGTATAGATGAACTAGGACACCATGATGACAATGCTCGGATGGCCGTAACGATGGAGAACACCTACCAGCTGGGTGAGATAACTTCACCTGTGTGCGGCATCATACCCAGCTATACAGATGCACTGCAGCTGTTTGATACAACAGTGATTTGATTTTGATTCTTTAAGAAATTTACCTGATCAACATATATTGCAGATGTGTCTTTTTTGTTTGATTTTTTTTCATGGCCTTAGTCTCACTACAACCATACACCAAGGCACTGATTTAAATAAGGACATTTTACAGAAATTGTGTCAAACTACAAAAAGGTTAGCACATAGGCTTACTAATTCTTGAGGGATGTAAGTTGAACAAGACCAGAAACATATCAAGTGGACATTTTTATGCAATATGAATTGATTTTAAAGCGCCATAACTTCCCAAATTTAAATCAATGCATTACAATACTTTTTACTAATTGCATAAGAAGTCAAAGTTATTTAACATGGCATTGTTGTCTTTGTTTTTTGGACCACAGGACCTTACAAACGCTTCCCTATTCCTGCTGTCACAGACATACTGAAGGATGTACTCACCAGTTACCTCCAAGAGGAGAAATATGAAGTGGAGTGGTCTCAAAAAATGACAAAAACAATATGTGAGGTAAATAAAATGGAAAAACTAATTCATGGCATGAATACCTTATGTTCTATCAGTTTCATTATTTGTATTTCCTCTCCCAGGTGATAAGAGCTCGTGTGAAGGACCTCATGATTCCCCGATATAAGATTGTCGTGCTGGTCCACATCGGCCAGCTCACCGGGCAGAGCATGCAAATCAGCAGCCGCTGTCTGTGGGATGCATCTAATGACACCTTCGCCTCTTACTCCTTCAAGAACAGCTCTCTGTTTGGTGTGGCATCTGTCTATGCTGTTTACATTGAGTGAATCATGTAGACATTGGATGGACCCACACAAGATTCACTTTAGTCATACATATCTCACAGTGAGGAAGAGATTTCTGCTATTGAGGAGTTATTTATCTATGTTGTATATTTTGTCTGAATAAATGATTAAACAAGGAGGGATTACCAAAATTCATGGTGTTTTTTTTATTTTTTGCTAGCATGGAAAATGAAATCACATTTTTCTGACAATGCTCTGAAAATGTATATATTTTGAACTAATGAATGACTGTGGCAGATCGATGATGACCCGTTGGGATTTCCCCTTCTAGCAGAGCATGGAGAGGTCACTCCTTCGACAGCCTTGTTCACAGCACACTGATATTAGTGCCTGGTTTAGGTCCCGCCAGTGACGGTGCATCACTGGCACATCTGTCGTCTTCAGTTTTGTCTCTTCGCTTCCTGCCAAGAGATATTGTTAACCTGAAGTCAGGGCTGTCACTCTAATTTGGCTTACAGTAAAGTTTAAGTATTAAAGAATTCAAGTGACCACGTTCTCACCGTCTTGAAACGTCTCCTCTTCTCCCATCAGTCTCCTCCACCTGGATCCTCCACAGGTGTACACCACTGCCCGCAGAAATGCCCGGCCACACAGCCTCAGTGTGTTATCCTCTGTCTGTACCTGTGCCACACATAACGTGCACAGCAGCAACGCAAGCAGGATTAGGGATCTCATTTCTGCTGATGTTCTGATGTCTGTATTCAGAAAACATCTGTCCTGATCAAGCCTTTTATGCAGAGACTCCACTGATGTCACACACTTTCCAAGGTCTTCCTCAGGTGATTCCTGTGTAAACGGTGTCTGTTATCTTTGGTAACCATCATGTGCTTTTAACAACGGATGTCAATCTGGCCATTTGGGATATGTGTGGGAATCTAGGCCATTGTTATGATCACTGATAACTACATTTTTGTAAATGTTAAAGAGAAAGAATTGCTTTTTTATGTCCCAACTGCAGGGTTTTTATTGCCATGGATTAACTAAAGTGTTGCCTAATGGATCGCTTGAGATATCCGTCCTACAACAAACTGAGGTGATGGCTCTCTACATAGCAACATAGTGGAGCGTGTGCTCACTATCATGAACATAAATCAATGATTCCAAGAAGAGACAGTTGCATTAACCGGAACATTTGTTGTTATATTGAACTGTGTCATGGAATAGGTGACTGCGCTATAGTCATTTCCGGCTGGGTGAGGCATAAGCATAGCTAAAATCTAAAATATAGTTTTTATTACGAAGGTATCCTAATTCAAGAAGAGTGTATTCTGGTATAAAAAAAGTCAAGCTAATGAAAGTTAACATTTTAATTTTGATTAATGAAGTAGTTCTTCCTCTCTTCAGTGTAAATAGTATTTTGAACTTGGATCAGTGAGACCTTTTGGCCTATGTCACTTTAAACATTAATATTACATTGTAAAATGAGCTTGTTCTCTATGGCGTTTGGTGGAGGAAAACATTTGTTACTTATTTTAGATTGTACTAGTAGTAGTAGTATTAATGTAGACCTACACACTCATCTCACAGTTTTGATAGTCAAGGTCAAGGTATGAAGGACCGGTAACCACCCAGGGACCATGATTTTTTTAGTCAAAACTATGGCATTATGGTAAGAGGCCCCTGGGCGGTAATCCACCCTTCAATTAACCTCTTCAGGGCAGCTGCGTTTACAGTATAAAAGCACTAATAGACCTTTTTCATTGAAGATATTTAAATTTGTCATTGTTGGAAATGCATAGGTCTAATTCATAATAATAAAAAGCTGTCAACATCATGTAAACTACCACAGCCCACTTAGAGCACTGTTCAGAAAAATATCAGCTAAGGACTTTTAGCTTTACTTATTGTGTGAAATTCAGTTTGAAAGTTCATAATATGCTAGGTTTGAACTTGTTACATTATATTAAATGTTCACACATTGCTCTCTGTGTATCTGGTATCTTAGTAATTATTTTGTCATTTTTATTGTCATTGCATTGAATTTAATTGATTAGATGTAATGTAAAACCTGTATATGTATCGTTTGGTAATTAATTTTTACAAAATGCACATAGTACTACATGAATATCACAGAAACATCCATGCTTTGGCGGTGCACGACTGAGACACCGAGGCGAATGTGAGCAGAGCAGTGTTACTGCAGGTGGGCGGGGCTCTACATCCGGGAACTACCACTGAACCCTGACGTGACCCTGCAGGATTGCAAACATGGCGGAGGTAAGAAAGTGAAATAAATATTAGGAAAAAATAATTTTATACCGCAGGATAGTTTGTTCAGTCGAATGTGTATATCGTTTGTGTGTCATAGCTTTAATACACGAATTGAAGAATCCACTGTTTGCGTCGCTAGATAATGGATATTTCTTGACACAAGCATGTTTAGTAAACTTCGGATTTAGCTAACGTTAGCCGAGCTAGCCCAGACGGAAGGTAGCTGCGGCGTTAGCGATGATACTTGGCGGTTTTGTTTAACAATACTTAACTATCCTTTTCAGCGTTTTTAATTACACGTGTAGCAGTAGTTTCATGGTTACACATATTTTGTGTGTTGTTTTTTTAGCATAACTTGATGGCTGTTGATACGAAGCTTAACTTGGACGCGTTAGCTAAATATATAAAGGAGGATTAGCTTGTAATTTGTATTCTAAGTTAGCCATTTGAGTGAATTAACCCAGTAAGCACCCGCCAGTTGCAGCTAACTGGTTGAATGCAGGCGGTAAACGCCACTGTTCATAAGATATTCACAGTCTGGTGGAGATGGAGCCTAAATTCTCCCACAGGAAGTGGTGACAGTCTTCTTTGTTTCTTTTCTTCTTAAACTGCAGTCAGCTTTTAGGGCACGGGGTCGGGCGCGCTTTTTTCCATTTACGTTCCCCTGCGAGACTAACTTGAATAAGTTATACACAGCGGCGAAGCGTGTCCTGTTGTACTCATAACGAGATATTTGCCTCTGAAGTTGTTCTTTAACTTTATTTATGTTCTTCTTTTCCGTTTTCCAGTCCTCCCTCGGGAATTCGAGCCCAGGTACATACAGTTGGAACTTTTTTGTTGTTGTTTGTGTGTATGGCAGAGGTTTGAAATCCGCTGTCCAAACTTAAATAGTATATGTATAATACGTATTGAATTTGATGCTTAAAGGAACTAATTTGGTCAAAATTTAAAGAATGGAAACTACTGGATTGATAGTCTCATACTTTAAGATATAAAGTTATTATTATTTTACACAGTAATAATAATAAAAAAAACAGTTTTATATATATATATATATATATAAATATAGATATAAGAATATGCAAAGGAGAAACGTAGTGCAAAAAGTAGAGTGTAAAAGTATAAAAATACAATAAGGATTAATAAAATAAAAATATTAAGATATAATAGAAATATAAAATATAATGAACATATATACACTATATACAGTTGGCAATAAAGGAATATGGTCTGCCAAAAATATGTATAACAGTGTATAACTGACTGTACATGTACTATTATAACAAGATAAGAGTTGGATGATAGGATTATATTATACTGTGAAACAATATAAAGTTGTCTACCATCAGAGTTTTAGCCATACTGTTTGTATCCAAAGTATCAGTCCCTGTAATTTTTCTGACTGAATTAAGCCAATTATGGAAAGTGGTGTAAATCAATGAGGAGGATTACTATATATTACTATTATCATGTTAGATTTAAAGGATTTTTGCATCAGTGTGGCTTTGATTTTTGGTAAGCAGTTCCCTGGATGTGCCAAAAATAGACATTCCCATCTGGAAGTTTTATCTGTAAGAGGTTTAATTGAGTTTTGATAAAAATGTACAATAAATAAATATTGCTTTACTTTTTGGGTTACTTTTCAAGGAGGTTCGGCAGGTTCCGATGACCATGATTTCGACCCATCAGCAGATATGCTTGTTCATGACTTCGATGATGAACGCACCCTGGAGGAAGAGGAAATGCTGGAGGCAGCTGATGAGACCAACGCCAACGAGATTGAAGATCTTGCACGGGTGAGTTTCAGGCTTTGAGGTCATTTTTGGTTTTGTCAGCTCTGTCTGGTAATATATACATTTAACAGTCTTCTCAAACAATTTGAGAATAATGGCTCTGACTTTTGAATTTAGTTCTTAACATTTAGATCAAAATTATTTCATTTAGGCATCAACTCTAGGCAAAAGTTTAATTCATTGTACAGTTTAGAAATCATTGTCACTTCACTTTCAACAGGAAGGAGAGATGCCCATTCATGAGCTGCTGAATCTGTATGGTTATGGCGGTGGTTCACCAGCAGATGAGGATGAGGAGGAAGAGGAAGAACCTGAGGAGGAAGAGGATGATGAAGAAGAGGATGAGGAAGAGGACCTAGACAATGATGAAAGCAGTAGAAGCACTGGCGAGTTGAAAAGAAATGAGGTACGTGGGTGTTTGTGATATGGTTTCCATGAACTTAATATGTTTGTGTCTGGTCTTGACTGTAACTTTAGGTGTGTTTTCAGGGTGAGGGTGTTAAGAACTTATCAGGACAGGAAGATGAGGCCCAGGCAACGTCTGAGGGCCGCACACGCTCTGTCAGGTCCCTTGGCACAGCAGAACTTATTCGCCCCCAAAAACTCAAGTATTTTGAAAGTATGAATCATCTTACCTCATTTTCTTTCTCTTCTTTCTGCTTGCTGCAACTAAATTGTATGTCCTGATGTCTGTATTAGAAAATACTGCAGATATTCTATTGGGATTTATTGTTCATCCGTTGTGTCTAAGGTAATAATGATGCAGAGGAGGAGTCAGATGAAGATGAGGACTATGTTCCATCTGAGGACTGGAAAAAGGTAACTTCATTTTTCAGTGTCAGACACTTGTCCTCTTACATTACAGTGGGATTTAAACTACACTGCTAAAAACATTTTTCAGAACAAAGAGGGCATGGTTTGTTTAAAATGCTAAACATCTGGATCAGTGGAATTTACACACTGCCTGCCACATATCTAAGGATCTGGAGCATGTGCGGTGTCAGTTCAGATTTGTCTAATCCTCTTAGACTTTTAGAAATACACAGCTATTGAAGTCAGCTGTCACTATGATAGATGTATGTCTTCAGAAATACTCTTTGCCCACTGCAGAAATGCTACACTGACCA